CAACGTGGAGCCTGCTTGGGATTCTCTCTCTCTCCCTCTCTCTCCCCCACTCCCCCACTCACTCACTCTCTCCCTCAAAATAAATAAACAAAAAAATATATTGTTCATTTTCTCACATGCCATTTTTCTGTCATTTTTGTAATCACTGAGCCAGGGTTTCAGAACATTTGAGCCAATGAAAAGATAAAAGAAAAAGACACTCAAGCCAAGCCCACGAGACACTTGAGGTGTTCACACACACTCTGTTCCTTTCTCACACAGTATTGTTCTAAAATATAATCTGGGGGTGGCTGGGTGGCTCAGTCAGTTAAGCATCTGACTCTTGATTTCGGCTCAGGTCATGATCTCATGGTTGGTGAGATTGAGCCCTGGTGGTGCTCTGAATTGACATCATGGAGCCTGTGTAGGATTCTCTCTCTCCCTCTTTCTTTGCCCCTCATCTGCTCACATGCTCTCTCTCCCTCCCTCCCTCCCTCTCTCCCTCCCTCCCTTTCCCTCTTTCTCTCTCTCTCTCTCTCAAAATAAATAAATAAGCATTTAAAAAATAAAATATAATCTGAATGCCTTTAGTTGTGGCAGAGGTCACCCCAGTCCTTGCCTTTCCTTGTCGTCTAATCTGGCCCACTTTCTATGTTTATTTTATTACACAGCCCCTACGGGTATTGACGTTTGTCTTCTGCCCATTGCTGATCTGAAAAGGACTTCAGAACCTTTACTCAGAATGAGACATAGGTGACCAAGTGCTTTAAATATTTGCCTTTGAATTTTAATAATTTAGTAATTCAATAATCAAATTCTTAACAATAAGAATCTGAATTGTAATGATGGGTTCTCAGGTATCAGCCACTAGAAAGTAAGGGGCTCTCAGAGCTTCTTAAGTCACCCAGTAAAAAATAATATTAAAAATAAATAAACATTAAAATAATAACTACAGTTTCTTGGGCACCTATTACTTAACAGTCACTATTCCAGGCACTTTAATAGTAATAATAGCTCAGTTATTGAGCATTTACTGTGTAACAAATTATCTACATGTATTATCTCATTTAATTGCCCTTATAACTCAGAGAAGTAGGTATTTTCATTGATATGCTGATGAAGCAACATTCAGAGAGAGAAAATGAGAGAAGGAAAAGGAGGATGCGGAAGTGGGGGGAAGGAATTCCAATTTATATGGAGCAAACACCCCCACCATGGCTGATTTCACAGCCCACCATGCCTGAAACCACAGTGGCTTCCTGCATATTTAACAAGCAGCGAGCTGGTGTGAGCTGAATCCAGACTGAGACTCCCATGTAGTGACTTACCCACCGGTACACAGCCAGAAGAGGCAGCGCTGAGAATGGCCACCCAGGTCTGTTCACGGTGAATGCCAGCCCCACCCTTCCGAGCAGTAACCTGCAAGTTGGAGAGGAAGAGAGAAGAACCAGGGGAAAGTGTCAGAGGTAGTCATGGCAGTGGAAGCAGCAGGAGCCCTGGCCTCCGACAGCCCTTCCCAGCTGCACAGTCCTGAGTGGGTCCTTCACCTCTCGTAGCCTCAGTGTCCCGTTTTTCAGATGGGAATAATAGCACCCACCTCGGAGGGTAGATGTGCCAGAAACGACTTGTGCAAATCACCCGTCACACTGCAGGTACTCAACCCCAGCGCTCCTGGGCCTGTGGGAAATCCTCAGGAAGGCTCAGAGGGGAGCCTCCCTTTCCGAGATGGAATAACAGAAGAACCAGAAGGACTGAGTTTTGGGGAGGGGGGCATGAGGGAGAGGTACCAAGGAGTACCAAGTTCCAAGGCAAACGAGTCAACCCCAGGGCCTGGGCAAAGGGACTCCGTTGGGCTGATGGCAACCTCAATTTTCTTTTCCCTGTGCTTTTACTTATTTTTTTTTTTTATAGCTAGCGCCATCATAGGAATCATATTCATCAAAGAAAAATGGAAACCTAAAGACTTCCTGAGTAAGTTCACTGATTTGAGTCCACGTTCTTAATGTTACGCTTGTGCCGTTTGTTCATTATAAAGCCAGCTCACCCCAATTTAGAGATCATCTGTCTCCTGCTCCCTTCTCTGCTTCTATATTCTACCCTCATCAGGCTCCTGAGAGCTGGGTTTTTTAATCAGTGGTTCCCAAATCTGGCTGCACAACAAAATCATCTGCGAGACTTTTTAAAAAGGGCTTTCATTCATTCCACTCAATCTATATTTACTGAGCATCTATTGTTGGGATTTTAGGAGGCCTGATAAAAGGCACCCTCTTTCCCTAAATGAGTTCTAAAGCAATGGGAAACAAACATGGAGGTCAAAGACAAGAGGTCACAAGTTATGCTTTATTGTTTCTACAAACCAGATTAGAGCGTGCAGCCAAATGAACTTGCTCACGTGGCCAAGTTTGGGAACAACTGTTCCGAATCGTTGGTGCCGGATAAGAGCGAGACAGGGCCAGAAGGCTTGAAAAAGAAAAGAATCTGACACTGCTCAGCAAACATACGATGCCAAGAGTCTTTTGCTCAGAGTGATCTGAGGTAGAGCCCCGATGACAGAGGAAGGGTACAGGGGTAGCTGGACTGGTTCTGAGACCAGTGTAGAGTTTTATGTTCCTTCCAGGCTCACTCTAGGTGGTCCTGGTATAAGAGACACGCTAGTCCAGGCAGTGCCCTATGTAAATTGGAAAAAGATGGCCCCTCTGGACATCTGTAGGTCTATGGGTACATGACCTGGTGAGCAGAGCATGGGCTAGATTTTAGCCCTCATCACCGCTTCAGCTAGGTGCTCTTAGGCAGTGAGCAATTTATACAACTGTACATGGCTGTCCTGCATAAAGTTCCATTAAATTCAGCAAACATTCTCCCAGTGCTAGACCTGTGCTGTTCACCACAGGCATGGAGCTAAGTAAGACCTTTCCCTGCCTGAAGAAAACTTAAGACAACAGACTTGTATATCTTAGCACAGAACTCATTATTGAATTTAACCGTGGCTCATTCATTCATCGAACAAATGAACAACTGGTTTTTGAGTACCTTATGAGGCCTAGAATGAAAATTAAAGACATGTGATGTGGTATCACATTTTTCTGGGAGACAATGGAATGAAATATATAGTTAGTTCCATCCCACAAAAATCCAGAGGCCTGTGGTAACCAGGCATAGGTCAGAACTCACAGCCCTTTTCAAAGCTTGCCTGGGTCTGGGCTGGACTTCCAGAGGTTTTTCACAAAATCCCCAGGGTGCAACTGGAGTGTGACAGGACCCAGGGGAAGAGGCAGGAGACTCCCCACCCCTCTAACAACCTCTGACAGGTCTGTGGAATAGAATATTGACAGTATTTGGACCGATCTCTCGGGATTAGGTTAACCAGCCGACGGGAAAGGATAAGGTCATTTTCAAAAGGTACATGGTAGGCTCTGTAGGTTTGCTTGTGAGGTTTTGTTACGTTTGGTTTTTTATGTTGCCCATAAAGTGATCCGAGCTTTCAAATGCTCCCCCCTGTAACATGCCCATTAAAACCACGGTGCCTTATCAGAATGGCTACCAGGAAGGAAAAAAAAAGAGGCAGTCTTACTCTAACACTCTCCCAGTGGGAGTGGCAATTGGTGCGACCAGTTTGGGAGACCGTTTGACAGTAACTACTGGGCTGACCGTCGGTGTATCCCCTGACCAGGGAATCGGCACTCCTCGGTTTACACCCAACAAGAAATACGGACGATATGTTTTCCAAATGACACGCTCAAGGATGTTCCTAGCTGGTTATTTGTTATCACCCAGCAACTGGAGAGCCCTCAAACACCCATCAGCCGCAGAATGGATACACCGTACAGCCCTACACCCCACACCAGGATGCAGATGAATCTCACGAGCTCCCAAACCTTAATGTTGCACGAACCCAAACACAAGGAAACGTAGTGTGTGAGCCCGCGTAGATAGAGTACAAAACCAGGTAAACTGTCGGCACCTGTTAGAAGTCCAGGTTTTCTCCCGAGGCCACGGTCTAGTGATTCAGAGGAGACACAAGGGAGGATGTTGGGGTCCTGCTAACGTTCCCTTTCTTGATCTGGGTGCTGGTTACGTGGGTGTGTTCACTTTGTGAGAATTCATCGGGCACTTTTTTGTATACGTGCCCCACCTCACTAAAATGTTTTCAACATTACATGTTATTTTTTTTAAATAACAATAAGGAAGGGGTGCCTGGGTGGCTCAGTCGGTTAAGTGTCCAACTTCAGCTCAGGTCATGATCTCGTGGCCCGTGAGTTCGAGCCCCGCGTCGGGCTCTGTGCTGACAGCTCAGAGCCCAGAGCCTGTTTCAGATTCTGTGTCTCCCTCTCTCTGACCCTCCCCCGTTCATGCTCTGTCTCTCTCTGTCTCAAAAATAAATAAACATTAAAAATAATTTTTTTTAAATAACAATAAGGAAGATAAGAAAAACCAAAAACAACAACAACAACAGCAGGTACCAGAAGCACATGCTGGCCTGAGGCCCAACCTGCCGCCAGCCCTGTGACAGCCTCCCTTTCTCTGCAGGGCGCTACGTCTTGTCCTTTGTTGGCTGCGGTTTGGCCATCGTGGGCACCTACTTGCTGGTGACATTCGCACCCAACAGTCACGAGAAGATGACAGGCGAGAACATCACCAGGCACCTCGTGAGCTGGCCTTTTCTCTTGTACATGGTAAGAGAAGCCATTGTGCCTTCCACCCAAGATGGCAGGAGGGAGCATCAAGTCCTAGACCCTGGGCACCTGAATATCCAGCAATAGGGGATTCAAGTGAATCATGACGTATTTCACAGCACCAAAGACCGTGCTTGTGGCAAGGATGTACTCCATGGGAAATGCCTTTTTCACTCATATCCTGGGTAATGTCTAAATCTGCACATATAATACGATAATTTTAGTTTTTAGAGATAGTGTAGGTGTGTGTGTACAATGTATATGTGAAGGACTAGACGGAGAAACAGAAACTCTATCTATAATTGTCTCCGAGAGCTGGAATTATGATTGAGTGTTCACTTCACCTGTGTCTTTATGCATCATCCAAAGTTTCTCCAGTGATCATTTAAGACTTTTAAGGTAAGAAAAACACTTAACATTTTAAACAGTCATAGAAATGTTACCTATTTATTTTTTCCCAGTATCACACAGCTGCTGGAAGCTAATAGAGACTCCAGAGACACTGGAAACTGTCTCTTAAACCCCTAGCCCCGATTACGTCCCACGTTAGGTCTACAAATAAACTGAGGAAGCATGTAAGGTATTTAATAAGCTGCCGGTATATATTCCTGTTCTATGCCAGGCAGGCACTGAGCTAAACACTTTCTTGCGTATCATCTCAAATTCTCCCAGAACCCTATAAGGTTTTTCTCCCCATTTTATGGAGGAGAAAACTGACGCGTCGGGAGGTTAGCTGACTGCTCAGAGTCCCACGAGGGCAGAGCTGGATTCGAAGTCGGGCCTGCCTGGCTTCACAGACCACCTTCCTTCGCCACGGCCCGCTGATGAAGGTGTTGACTGTTTTTCCTCTGACACAAGCAGCCTGGGACTGCTCTACAGGCCTGAAACGTCCTTTTTCCTTAGTTTGCTCCCAAGGCAGAGGATAGATGTCCCCCAGATTGGGACTGTCTCATCTCCCTACCGTCAGCCAGCCCCAGCGTGTAGCTGGTGGGCGTGGAGACTGCCATTTCTCCACACCCTGTCTCTGGCAGGACAGAGCCAAAGAACACCCCTCTTCAGGAAAAGCTTAACCCCAGAACACAGTTTTCTCTTAGGGAGTCCTGGGCTTGAATCTGTCATGCGCTGTGTGACCTTGGCCAGGTCACCTAACCGGAAGCTCTGCCTCCTTCTGTGTAAGCTTGGTGGGAGTCACTGGCCCGGGGCTGGTGGTTGGGGGACGTGAGGTGGTGCGGCAATCACCCAGCCCTTGGCAGATGCCCAGTGACCTACTCTGTTTGTCTCCTTGTGTCTCCAAGGCATTGCCGCTGTAACCGAACTCAAGGGGTCGCTGCTTGGGGTGCATCCAATTGAACACAACCCGAGGAAGTGTTGAAAGCAAAGACCTTTTATTACTTGTCACAAGTAAGGAGACAGGGAGATAGCTCTCAAAGCACTGTCTCCCCGTGGGGTTAGGGCAGGAAGCTTTTATGCAGTGTGCTGGAGGGCAAGGGCAGGGAGCTGGGCACATTAAGGAACTGATGCATTTTCTGTTTCTTAGGCACTTTGGTTCAGCTGCACATGCTTATTAGCATGTTGACGTGCTAGTCCATATATTGTATATTCACAAAAAATGGCAGAAAACCCCACCCATAGGAGATCTTAGCATTAGAATGAGTGAAAGGTAACGTTAGGGCAGCTCATAGGGCTTCTGTGCAGGCCCCGGTCTCCAGTGTGGCTCGAACTGGCTCACTTAAGGGGTGTCTCTCTAGTGGGGTACCTGGCCTTGACCTCTCCTTGACGGGAGCTGTTTATTTCCCTGCCTTTGCCCCTGCCCCCCTCCCTCCCGCTGATAGATTTCAGTCCCCTGACGTGAGTACGTCTCTGTTGTGACCTAACACTGCCAGCTAGAGAGATGTGGCCCGATTCGGTCAACATTCATGGAGTATCTGCTGTGTGCCAGACACGGTGCACGTGAGACTGACGGCAGGTGCACTTGTGAGCAGAGCATGATATACAGAGTTGATAGAGTTGTCCAGTCGCTGTGTGGTACGCCTGACACTAACGTGACATGGTGTGTCAACTATACTTCGGTAAAAAGAAAGGAAGAGAGGAGACATGCTCCCGGGACTCAAGGTCACGTACGCAGCAGCACCAAGCCTATGCCAGCACGCATTTAAGCCTCGTGAAGAATGGCTAGAAAACCGGGCCCCCTGAGAGCACGCACGATGGTTAGCAATGTTGATGAGCAACTGCATCTGCTTGATGGTGTATGTTGCGGCAATTAAAGATAATTATGACAACTTCAGAAAATACGAGAGTTGTTTTTGGTAACTAAAAACAGCCCAGGACAAAACTGCGCTGACTGTGATGACAAGTAGATAAAATATGTATTCACTGCAACAAAGGCAGGAAGAAACAGAAAAATGAAAACAGCTGGGGTTTTGGTTTTTTTTTTTATGGTCTCCAATTTTGAGGAATTTAAAAATTTTTCGAAATGCCCGTTAATGTTTCTGCGTTGCTTTTTATGAGTGCCTTCTACACCCTAGGCCCTGGGCCTCTCGCATCCGGGCAGCGTAGCCTAGTGGGAAAGTGCACGGGCCCTGAAGCCAGACTGCCCAGGTTCGGATCCCGGCTCTGCCATTTCATTAGCTAGCACTGTGACAGTGCCTACTTCACAGAATTATTGTGCTGATTTAACGACCTTAGTCTAGACACAGTGTTTACAAAGTGCCTGGCGCCTTTATGAGTTCGTTACGCGTTAGCGATGATTATGGCCTTACAAAGTAAGAATCGTAATCCCTATTTCACAGATGAGGTAATCGAGGCTTAGAGATATTAAGTGACTTGCCCACGGCCACACAACCATTGTAGAAGCAGATCCAATTTCAAACTTGGGCCTCGCTGACTCCAAATGTCCTTTCTTTCGACCCCACCAAGCCACGCACATTGAAGGTTTGGTTAGGGGACAGGGGCACGTATACTTAAGCCAAAGGTTCTACTTCAACCAAAGAGCTCTTCTCCTCAGTGAACAGTGTCTCCCTCTTTTTTCTTTTTCATTTATTTTTTAAAACTTTTTTTTATGTTTATTTATTTTTGAGAAAGAGACAGAGTGCGAGACAGGGAGGGGCAGAGAGAGGGGGGAGGCACAGAATCTGAAGCAGGCTCTAGGCTCCGAGCTGTCAGCATAGAGCCTGATGCGGGGCTCGAACGAACAAACTGTGAGATCATGACCTGAGTCGAAGTCGGTTGCTTAACCAACTGAGCCACCCAGGCGCCCCTAGTGTCTCCCTCTTTGACCCACCTTCAGTTTTAATGGGGTTACCCACGGAGCAGTGAGGTGGGGAGAAACCTCAGCCTGATGAATCCCGGCCATGTAAGACAGGGCGTGTGTGAGGCCAGCGCACCCCCCTCAAAGCCCTGAGCAAACTCCTCATCAGTGTTACCCAGAGGGTAGAGATTCACTCAGAGTTTACTCAGAGCCCCTCCCGTTTCCACGGGAGAGTTTGGGAAATGCTGGGTGCTTCAATTCCCTGTCAACTCTGAAGGAGTTGAATCCTTCCATGACTTTCAACTCCGTGACTTTAGTGACACCAGCAGCATCAACTCCAGCCCAGCCCAGCAGGGCCTCCCAGGCTTGCCCACACCCACGGCCACCACTGACCTCCCCGCCTGCTGACTTCCACAGCTTGTCGAGATCATTCTGTTCTGCTTGCTGCTGTACTTCTACAAGGAGAAGAACGCCAACAACATCGTCGTGATTCTTCTCCTCGTGGCCTTACTCGGTGAGTGGGGGTCTGGGTGGTTGAGTTTTGCCACCATCGGGCAGCACCACAAGGTCCCTGCCGAGTGGAGGTGGCTTCCGTCAGTTCTGTCACTCTGCTGACTGCGTTCAGTGTCCTTGCTCCAATACCAAGAGTCCCCTAAGTGCCAGGAACGGTGCCAGAGAGAGAGCCACAGCGGTGGACAAGACAGACAAACCCCTGCCCTAGGGAGGCCTCCATTCCAAAGGGAGGAAGTGTTAATAAACAAGCAGACAAATGCATAGATCCTGGAGAAGTTTGGGCCGTGGTGATTACAGTGAAGAAGAAGACAGCAGGGTAAGGGCGAGGGAGGTAAGAGTTTATTTCAGAGAAGTCAGCGGTGGGGCAGGCTCCAACAGCTGCCTCCTTAAGGCTTCATGGAAGCCTGTCGGGCTGGGAAGGAGTGCTGGATTCAAAAGCAGGAATCAATTTTGCTCTGTCACCTGCTTTTTCTTTCCTTTGGGAGGGATGGGCACAATGTGGGAAATGGCCCCTGAATCAGACTGGGGCAAGGCCTGACCCCACATAGAGTGTGATATACTAATCGGGCTGTGAGATGTGCCCGGACTTCCAGGGGAAGGAGAAGGGGGGGGGGGGGCCTCCTGCTACCCCCTGGGGCCTCTGTAGCCTGGGGCAGGTGACTCCCTCCTGTTGAAGCCACACTGTCCTCTAAAAATAGGCCTGGGAGAACACCCAAATCTCAGGGGGGGTGACCAGGGGTAAATGAGAGCAGCACAAGTGCCCAAGACGTGTTGCCGCCCTTGTGTCCTTCCCACACCGAGCCTCCACACCAGTCACAGGCCGTCAGCCACACAGATAGGGGCCACAGGGGCCAAGGTTGCAGCATTTTGATTTTTTAAAAACAGCTTTATTGAGATATAATTTACCCACCATAACATTCACCTGTTTGAAGTATACAATATAAACGGAATCCTCTAATAATGGGGCTTTTTGTGACTGGCGTCTTTCACTGAGCATATTTTAGAGGTCTGTCCGTGCAGTAACTTATAGTGGCGGTCCCTTCCTTGGTGATCTTGTTTGCAAAGCAGTTTGGAAGGTCAGGGTCCCTCTGATGAGCAGGAAGGCCAGAAGGCCCTAAGGCACATTGGCTGCTCTCCCTGTGTCCCCTTCTCACCAGCAAGGACACCCTCACGAAAGTGCCTGTCTTCACTGGCTGCTGCTGTTTGACAACCGTCATCTAGGTAGCCGAGGGGCCCAGAAGCCGCTGTGTGTGGTGGGTTGTTAGCAAGAGGGAAAAGGAGCAGAAGCCAAGAAAAATGGGAAAGCGGAGCACCTCAGCCAGAATAAAGGGCTTCATTTGTACCCACACTTGGCAGTGGTTTCTTTTCACTCCTCCTCCGGCGGGGGGGGATCGGACAGTTTAGGCTTAGCAGTCATTTCTGCACCACTGGATAAAGCAGTGGTCTCCATAGTGAGGTGAGCAATGATCTCTCCTGCAGCCGTTATATAATGTAAATACCATATAAGCACAGTGGTACGTGGGTATCACTTTAAAATACACAAACATGTATTATCGGAAAAGTATGTGCAGGCACATAGGGGTAGGATTCCAAAACATCCAGGGACCTCTAACAAAATGTTTGTTTTTTTTTTTTAATACAAGTGAATAAGCATTAAAAAAAAAAAATAGAGCTCCTTGCACACCATGTTTCTTTTCCCTGTGATTGCCATGAGAATGATACTCAAAAGTTCATTTATCCATTCAAAGATCGTCTTGACCTCCTACCATGTTCCAGGCACAACGCTGCCACTCGCGTTCAGACTTAGACTCAATGCCCTTTCTTGCTGGAGTCTGGAAATGACATTTGGAGACGCCTGTTGGTATTCTGCTTTCTTCTCTTCTTGGACGTAGCAGCACAGATAGGGCAGCTCATGGAAGGGGCATAAGAGAGCCAAGGCAAACGGCTTCTTCTCGCCACGTCGGTCACTGGGTTGGCTCTGCCAGTGCTCTGTATTTTTCATCAAGTCCTTTGGGGTCATAAACTGACTTTCAGGGGGCGACTCCCTGCATCCGTCCCTCCTGTTCACCTTCTGCAGGCTCAATGACGGTGGTGACGGTGAAGGCCGTGGCTGGCATGCTGGTCCTGTCCATCCAGGGGAACCTGCAGCTCGACTACCCCATCTTCTACGTGATGTTCGTGTGCATGGTGGCCACCGCTGTCTACCAAGCCGCGTGAGTCGCAGACCCTTTTCCTGCCGGGCCTCTGCACGCAGGTCTCTTCCGGGCGCTGGGCCCGATCTGCTTTGTTTCGGAAGCTGTAGGGAAGGCAGAACGATCCCACCACACAGCCTGCAGCCAAGGTTAGGCAGCCGCTGTGGGGGGGAGAGGGGTCGCTGATTGGCCGAGCTGTCACGTGGTGGGGCGGGGCTCTGTGCCCCCGGAAAGACGAAGCCCGGAAGGGACGTTGTTTTTCCCGCCGCCTCAAAATGGGAGAAATGTGTGATCACCGGCAGCCTCGCCTCCCGTCTCCTCCCAGGCAGGCGTCTGCTTCGTGGACTCTTGAAGCTGTGCGGCCCCCAGGAGCCACCTGTTAGGTGGAAAACGGAAAGTTGCCATTTCTTACCCCCAAGAAATCTTCCCCGTAGAGCGAGGTGATCGTTTCTCTCTCGGAAGCGGTGGTCCTAAGGGTAGGCCTGGGCCTTGTCCACGTCTGAGACCCGGTGCTCGGCAGAGGGCCCCCGACGGCCTGGGACCGGATTGAGTGTTGGGCCCTAGAGCCTCTCCCCTCCAGGCCTTTCCCTCAGCTTCCCTGGGATCAGATTCCTTGTCCGCAAGTGAGAACAACAACGGCCCCGACCTAAGAGAATCGCATAAAGCGCTCAGTACCGTCCCCAGAGTACTGTCCACAACATCTCAGCTTCTTTTATGATTATGATGACTATTATTATGGCGATTATTTTTTAAATGTTTATTTATTTTGAGAGAGAGGGAGAGAGCGAACGAGCAGGGGAGGGACAGAGAGAGAGAGAGAGAGAGAATCCCAAGCAGGCTCCACGCCGTCAGCACGGAGCCCAAAGTGGGGCTCGAACCCAGGGAACTATGAGATCATGACCTGAGCGCAAACCAAGAGTCAGATGCTTAACCCGCTGAGCCACCCAGGCACCCCTATTATGTGGATTATTACTGGCTTTAGTCCTACTACAGAGATTCTGGTCATCACCCCTGAGCCGACCCAGCGCCAGGCTCTGTGCTGAGCACCCCACGGTTCCAGAGATGAATCCGATGCCCACTCCCCCTTCTCACTCACCCAGTCAGCACACGTCCACCGAGGGCCCGCTGTGTGCCGGGCCGGTCTGCACACACAGGCCTGAGCAATAGTCGCTGTCCCCAGGACACTCACAGCCCTGGGGTAGGGGGAAGGGCAGCCACACTAACGGAAGAGAACAACTGAGTGGGATGTATGTCATGGTGTAGGCAACTAGGTAGTAATAACTAAATGCTATGCAGAGAATGGACAAAGAATATATTCCAAGATGAGGGAGTGTTCATCCTAGATGGAGAGATTAGGAATGATTCTAATTCCTCTCTCTCTCTTTCCCGTACTGACTGCAGCGAGCACATTATTTTTGCATTAAGAAGAAAATTTGTTTTAAAAAAATAATTTACAGGAGCACCTGAGTAACTCAGTCAGTTGAGCGGCCGACGTCGGCTCAGGTCACGATCTCGTGGCTTATGGATTCGAGCCCCATGTCGGGCTCTGTGCTACAGCTCAGAGCCTGGAACCTGCTGCTGATTCTGTCTCCCTCTCTCTCTGCCCCTCCCCCCACTTGTGCACTGTCTCCCCCCTCCAAATATAAACATTAAAAAAGTTTTTTTTTTAATAATTACAGCAATAGGCAGAATGTGCTAAGTGCTGTAAGTTTCTTGGACTATATACAAGGACAGAAGTGGCTCTTTTTAGTGGGGTGGGGATGCTGGCGACAGTGACGGGAGGAGCGTGAGAAGGGCGTTTCGGGTGACGAGGACCCTGTGGCCAGAGAGGTATGAGACCGGGAAGGCATGGCCCACGTGGGGAACAGGATTGTCCAGGGGACAAATGGGAACAAAAGCGTGGACCCCAGACCGAGAGAGGCACAGGGGTGGCATCTTTGTAAACCCAAGGGATGTTCCTTCATGTGCCATCTTCATTTTTCAAACCGAGCCTACTGTCATCAGCTCTCACCTCAGCCTTCCTGACATGCCCACTGACCACAGTGCTCTTGTGTTTAAGGTTTTTAAGTCAAGCCTCACAGATGTACGACTCCTCTTTGATTGCCAGCGTGGGCTACATTCTGTCCACTACCATTGCTATCACAGCAGGTAAGGGTGGCGATCGCTAGATTCCTGTCTCCCACCTGCGCAGCAGGGACATTAGCCCAGTGTGGAGGGACAGGGCTCTGCCTCTCTCAAAAGGCCAGTTCTGCGGACTTGTTCTACCTCTCAGAGTCGTGTATGACGTCATAGAGAAAGTGCAGGATTTCGGGCCAGAGGGACCCGGGTTTACATCCTAGCACAGACACAGAGCCGTGTGACCCTAGGAAAATCACTTAACCTCTCTGAGCCCCAGTTCCACATTCATAAAATGGGAATAACACTCACGTCCTAGAATTGAAACACACACAAGATGTACTTTGTACAACTGGCACAAAGTTTCTCCAGCGATTTTTGCCATCATCTGCTAGCTCCACTAAGTGATCACAGATTTCTTCTCTATAATTTTTAGAGATTATGTCCGGATGAAGCATCTGTAATGTAATAGGTGCTGAGTAAGCCGTCATCAGTTTGGCAGGCCCCCTTTCTTCTACTCCACCCCTACTTTTTCTTCTGAGGTGGCTTCGGAGGCTGCAAGCATATCAGAGTGTGTTTGTTTTTAAGGGTCAATGAAGATGAAAATCTCCGAGGTAATAAGGCCGATAAGAACAGTGTGCCTCCCTTTGAGGAAGGCCCAGCCGTAAAGCCAGATGTTTTGCACTGCCCTTTAGACAAGCGTGCCAAATCCTGCTCACAGAGGGGGGAACAAGGTAGGCACGCGTCCTGCCAGAGCCTGTGCTGAGAGCAGGACCCGGGATCCCGGGAGGCGTTGACCCAGAGCAGCCAGAAAGTGAGCCCGCTGCACTGACTTAAGTCATGATCCAGAACTTGGGTCCAGTCAGGGTTGAAAGGAAAAGCCAACAGCATGATCAGAAGCTGGGCAGGAATCAGGAGCTCAGGGACACAACATGAAGCCCCGGGAGGTAGAATGAGTCCAGACAGACGCAGGCTGCAAGGCAGGTGAGGGCAGCCAGGCCCATGTGGCTCCCGGTGCAGGAGCGGGCCTGCAGGCCTGCCATCTGCTGGCCACGCGAGGTTAAAGAGCTCTGACAGCTTAACACCAAGCCTTGCCTTTCCCTCTTATGAAAGGCGGGGGAAGGGAGTATATAAAAACTGGCAAAGAAAGTCTGTAGTTTCGTTTATAGTGTGTTTAATTGGGGGAGGCTGGGTGCAGGGTCCATGAGAACTCTATAGAAAAACAAGATGGAGATAAGAGGAGTGTAGGAGAAAGAGAAGACAGTCTGTCTCCCCACCCCCCCCCCC